CCTTTCCAGAGAGTGCCAGAGGAACATGTGATCCAGTCTTGGCCAATGAAATGCAGGAGGAAGTGTCGGGGGGGGGGTGAAATTCTCGAAGGTTTCCTTGCTTTCTATGTGACCTACATGAGGAGGGGCCCTTTCTTTCTTCTGCAGGCTATCCTGTCTCAGTGGGAAGCCCGGAATAAGCCACACTTAGAGAACAGAGGAGCCAAAAGAATAGCCGAGGAACATTTGTACCATGTTGGAGCCCAACTTCTTGTAATATGAACAACAAATCTCCTTATTGCTTCAGTTGTTTTGAATTGGGTTTTCTAGTCTTTGCCATCAAAACCACCTTAACTGATCCAAGCCACACTCATACCCAAGTATGTAATTACAATTTTTTTCCTCTTCCAAAGGCATCTTTATTTTCACAATCATAATGTATATAAATTTGGTATCTATCTTTTCCCTTTAACATTATCATAAGCATTTTTCCATTTCTTATATATAATCTTTATAATTATCACTTTAGTAGCTCCGTAGTATCCATCAAATGAAGGGAACCTCTGCGTAGTATCTTATTGCTGTATATTTAGGTTTGCCTCCACAATTATGAACCAAATCATTTTTTTTTCTTTTTAAAGATTTTATTTATTTATTTGAGAAAGAGAAAGCAGGAGCGGGGGGAGGGCCAGAGGGAGGGGGAGAAGCAGACTCCCTGCTGAGCATGGAGCAGGACTAGGGCTCAAAGTGGGGCTCCAACCCAGGACTTTGAGATCATGACCTGAGCTGAAGGCAGACACTTAACCCAGTGAGCCACCCAGGCACCTATGAACCAAATCACTTTTACAAAGATTACCTTAACACACACACACACACCCCCAAAGACAATGGCCACATATCTATTTACACTCACAGATAATCACTCACAAAAGGCAATAGAATCTAGGGGCACCTGGGTGGCTCAGTCAGTTAAACACTGGACTCTTGCTTGACTTTGGCTCAGGGCATGATGTTAGGGTCATGAGATCGAGCCCTGTATCTGGCTCCCAGTTCACATGCTTGAGATTCTCTCTCCTCTTTCCCTCTGCACCTCCCACTCATCCTCTCTCTCTCTCTCTCAAATAAATAAATAAAACATTTTTAAAAAGGCAACAGTAACTAGATATCTTATTTTCATCTTAAAAACACGTCCTCAGACTAGTAAAGAGTCAGACAATGCCTCAAATCGAAGTATTTTACATCTGCCTTATCCTGAAGAGCAGATTGAGCTCAAAATTTAAAATCCAGCCAGGAAATATATCAAATCTGGTATTGCTAATGTTTCTGAGAACCTGCTACACAGAATCAAGAATGCAGCATTTTTTTTTTAAAGGGACAGTTTTCAGCCAACTTTTTAATTAACATTCACTTCAAACACCAGATGGACTTCAAAGAGTACAGCCTGTAAACAATTGTCCCACAAGTCTGCTATCTCTGTTTGAATCAGGAGATTGCAGAGGGTACATGCATATGAACAGCTTACCATGATGACATGACAAAAAGTCAGGTCTAGGAATCATTCCTTCTGGTGACATCTCCATCATTAGAGCATTATCATCTCTTATTGTACCTGTTTTACCCATCAGTCATCAGTCACCGATGGCTGAGTTCCGTTCGGCTGCTTGTAATGGAGAGTAGTTAGCACAGCGTCAAGTTGTCCCACCTGCCATGCCAACCAGTGACTGGAAAGTGATTTTCCCTTCCTAGTCGGGAAGCTCTAAATTACTGCAGGGTATGCGGGGGGTAGGGGGGAAGAATCATTTGCGTGTTAATTCTTTCTGTAGAAACATAAAAAATAACCTAGCTCACGTGCAGTTAATAATCATACTCTGGTGAACTAGGTTATTATTATCCCACACCAGTCAAATGAAAAACAGTGGTGCCATTTCCTAGAATGACACAAAAAGTTAACCATAGATTGGCATGCCTTCTTCTTGATCCTACACCTAGCAGAATTAAGTCACAGATGGTGGACTCAGTCTACCTAATCACCCACCATTATACATTCTAGATGGGTTCTGATGCCCTCCCATGGTTTTCCCAAGTGTGACAAAGGGTCTTCAGCATCCAAATCACCTTGACTGCTCGTCAGAAATGCACATTCCTGAGACAGATCTAATGATTACTTAATCAGGGCTTCTGAAGGCTAGAGCCTAGGCATCTGCATTTTAAGAAGTTCCTAGGTGCTCATTATGAGAACAAACTCCCTGGGCTGATTTAGGGTTAATTCCAACTCTCCAAATGACTATTACTAATTCACGGTTTCATACAATTAGAGCCCAGGCATCTTTCTCACTCTCAGACATTTGAGCCACTGGAGTGTCCACACCTTGCCTTCGCTTATCTGAGATCCCCTCAGCGCCCCTTCAACTAGGCTTAGACCTTAAAGACACCAACTTCCTCATTTCTCTCATTGTAACTAGATACGTGACTCTGGCCTCCAGTTTATTTCTTAAAGGAGGGATCTCACTACTATAAATTTTCTTTCCTTTTGTCTAGTTGTTTTTTGTAAAGAAAAAAAAAAACTAGATATTTCTAAATCCTAAGATACAGGAGATCATGTGCATTGGACCAAACATAATTCCTTTCCTCTTTTAAGACTAGTCCTTAAGCTACAAAAATAGGATCATCAGAGAGCACATATATTTCTCCATGTTTATATAATTAAAGAACTAGAGCAAAATGAGTTGTGACATGAAAATGTACACTACCTTTTAATGTTGTTATGAGAATTAAATGAGAAAACTAATATATAAAATGCTTAGCTCAGCATCCAACACAGAGTGAATGTTCAGTGAATCCTAGGTATTATCAGGCCAGGTTATTTTGGTACATGCTCAGAGCTGGAAAAGTTCTTTGAATTAATCTACTCAAAAACTGCTTTTCTGCAGATAAGGAAACCAAAGCTTTGGGAGTTCAGAGTCTTACCCAACACTACATAGCTACTGCCAGAGCCAAAACGGACACCAGTATTTTCTAAAGCATAATTCCATATTCTTTTCACTACTCCATGATAGCTTTGTTTACCCTCCTCAGTGAAATGTAGGACCAAGGCCAGAAAGCCGTAAGTATGTTCAGAACATGCCAGTCATTTCAAAGGAATGGATCATGCCTAATCAGAACGTGAGTAAATGAAAGGATGGGAAGTTCTGGTTATCAAGACTGGGTCTGGGGAAGTAATTAATGATTACATAGCCAGCCAATTGTTTTCCTGTTCTGGGGGTGGGGGGGACATTTATCTCCCATCTTGGGCGGTTTCTTTTGTTTCTCTTGTGTTCAATCACTTTGCCCCAGGAAATACTGCACACACTACGATTATGCAGTGTTTGGGATTCTGTCTGGTGAGAATTAGCTATGAACATAAAAACATCACAAAGAGTCTGTGCTGCTGTTAGATTTAAATTTCTCTTCAACACAAGGGGGAAAACAAAGAACAACCGACTCTCTTCATTTGCAATATGAAGTTAAAGGAGTTATGTGTCAGAAAGAGAGCAATTTATCACTATAGTGTTTTAACTTTGAATTCCATTTTTTTCAGTATATTTACATATATATATCCTAAATATACATTTAAAAATAAGACATTTATTACAATAACAGGAAAGTGAAAAAAATTCCAATGTTTGCTGAACATGATATTTTACAACAGATAATCTCTTACAGTAAATAATGAGACACTGCTAGAGCTCTTTGCCTGATATCATCTCAATTTTTTTTATAGCCACATTGGCATTCTGTCCATGAAACACGAGTATAGCAATGACTTCATTCTCCAGGATGAAGAATAATTGATCTTAACCTTCCTATCACTTTCCTTTAACTCAAAGCTAATGCAATTCAGATAAATAAAAATGTCTGTAGGAAAAAAATGGCACTATGAAAGCCAACCTCCAAATTACCTCCAAAAGGTATAAAGTACAACATATTTCAGAATCCCAATTCATGAAACCCCTGCCCCATAGCTTAGATGGAGAGCTGCCAACAAGATGTTTGAAGGAAAATTCAAACTTTGAAGGACAAAAAGTTTTTCTTCCCAGCTATTAAAGAAGGGGTGTGTGTGGGGGGGGGGAAGCCCTAATGTTAAACAAAACCCCAACGACTCAAAGTGAAGCACTGTTCAAAGGCAGATCATTTACTTACATTAAACCTACTAATATGTTTTCATTGTACCATAAAACCAAAACATCTTACCAACTTTATCTCTTGATGTCACCAACTAATCCCAATTGCCCACAAAGAACACATACAGCTAAAAAATGGCATCCTTGAAAACTGCATTTGACTATATCAAGTTGCTTTTTCCCTAAGATAGTTACTATCTCTTTTTCCTTTCTTTTCTCTTCACTCACTGATAATATTTACCAAATTGTGCCCCAGAAAGTGAACATCATTTTGACAAGTTGTATTCTGACCAGGAAATTTTGCCATATTTTTTCAAACATAGGTCAGTGGTGAGAGTGAAGGCAAAAAATGTATCACATTCTTCCAAATAGGGGTCTATGGGGAGGGGGTAAGGTTATTATTGGTTGTCATATTAGATTTAATATTCTCTTTCCATAACGTAATTAGAAACTTTATCTCCTCCTTTACTTTGCCTCTTTCGTGTAAAGATGGTAACACCCTCAAGGCAAACTGACCTAAAGAACACGTATCCACCCAACGCACACACATCCACCCGACGAGCAGGCGTGTACACACACACAGCAGTGGCCAGAGGCCATATCCACGAACCCAGGGCGCAGCACCTTGCATAAAAACTATCCTCACAACTTTCCCACACAAAGCACGCCTCGCTAATTTAAAGTCACCGTACCAATGTACTTTGCTGGTAACTCGGCGGCAGCCAACCGTCACACCCGGCAATGCAAACCCGAAACCCCACACTAGCAGCCCCTTTCTTCAAGGCACATCTAACGCCCTGGGCGAGCCAGGCTGGCTCCCCGCCAGTCCCGAGCTGCCGCCGCTGCCCCGGGACCACTCACCGTGTCTGCAGTCGCAGTAGCCCCAGTCCACCTTGCCGTGGGCGTGCCCATAGAAGCACCAGGGTCGGCCCGCGCCGTCGGGGCTCCGACAGAAGTTGTGGCGCTGCCCTCGCAGCTGAGCCCAGCTCGCCGGGGGCGACCGCTCGAGGAAGGGTGGCACCTCTGCCCAGCGCAGACAAGGGGCGCCGAAGTCTGTCACGTTGACCCAGGGCTCGCCGGCGGGGCAGTCCCGGTGGTGCGGCCCCGGCGTGCGCCCGGCGTGGAGGGCGTGCAGGCGCTGGGCATGCAGCGCCTGCGGGGGACGCGGGACGCGCGGGAGAGGGGGCGGCGGAGGCGTCCTCTGTTGCCGCTGCTGGGTGGGAAGGTAATAAGGGTGCCGGGGCCCTCGAAGGAGCGAATGGCGATAGCGGTGGTGGAGGGGATGACTGACGACTAGATCAAAGCCGATCACTTCGGGGAGCGCCCCTAAAACCAGAGCCACCACGAAGCGGGCGAGCGTCATGGTGCCAGAGCAGCAGGGTTTGGTCCATGCTCTCTGGCTCCTCCGGTTCTGAAGAGGAGGAGAGGAGGGGGCGGGGGCGGGGCTGCAGCGTCCCTCGAATCCCCCACTCGAGTCCCCTCCCGCGCCCCCGCGCGCGGATCGCCCTCCCCTCCCCATCTCGCCTCCCGCCGCGGATCGCGCGCTGCGCCTCCGCTCCTGCCCCTCGGAAGCGGTCGCCGGCGGTGAAATCTTGAGCTCTGCCGAGCCCCGGATGGTGGAGAGGACTCGCAAAGAGAAGACGCGGACTCGGCGGGGAGTGGTGGGGACTGAGCCCCAGGTAGCCAACGGTGGCACGAGCCCGGGAACTCTGCCCCCTGGCTGCGGGCGCGGGGCGCGCAGTCTCATCCCGGAGCGGGACCTCCGCTCGACCTACTAGCGGGCTCCCGGCTGTCACCGTCCAGGCCAGACCAGCTGCTGGCACCGCCGCAGCCTCCCTGTGCCCCAGCCAAGCTCGAGGATGCCAGTGCGGGGGAAGGTCTTGGCTGCTCCTTGCCAGAAGGCAACACCATCAGAGCCCCGAGTCTGGCGGCTCCCAAGCTTGGCACCAGTTCCTGCAGCCATCTTTCCTCCACCCCCGCGCCGTGTCTCGTTTTCTTGGTTTTGAAAACTTCGGAAGCGTGGATGGATTAGTTACAACTCTCCCCTGACAAGTCCCAGGATAAGAGTTAACAAAGCACATGAGGAATGTTGAAGCCATTTTACTGAAGTGTGAGCTCCTCAAGGACAAGACCACGTTTCATTTAGCTTTATATCCCAGAGCTTAACACTGTGCCCAACACTTATTAGGCTCCAATAAACATTTGCTGAAATTAAATTCCTGAACTGACCCAGGGAAAGGAGCTTGAGCCTTTCTACTTCCTGCCTCCCACTTTCCACCCGGTGCGCTGGACAACACCAGTTGTCTGGTTATTACTGGGATTCAGTGAGGCCCTCTTAATATCAAATTTCCTTTCTAACCAGAGAAGACTTCATCCGTCCGGGTCTCCATCCTATCCAAAAAGTCCATCCCTCTAACACCTGCCTCGTTTTTGCAGGGCAACAGACTTGAGTTAAGCCTACACATTTGCCTCTCCAAAGTGGACTCACTGCTGGTAATTTTGAAGCCGCCCTGTTGGCTTGACCTTACCTTAGTAGAGCCTTTCAACAGCTCCACTCCCCATCCCCCAAAAAGCTGGCTTCGAATTTTTAAAAAATCACTGGAGTTGGATATTTTAGGATTTCTCCTTTCTGTGGTTCCTGACCATGCCACTGAAGTTAAACAAGGAAAAGGAAGACCAAAGAGATGGTAATATTTACTTTCTGGTAATCATTTTTAAGTGTGAGAGAGGACTACTGTCCCATAATTTAATGTATCCCGAAGAAAACCTGAGCATAACTTAAACATTTATTGTTAAAACCTAGGTTTCAATTAGAAACTGATTTAAGTCTCTAACCTAGCTCAAATAATCCATTTTAGTTTAACTTTCGTGAATCATTTTATTGATTTTCCCCACTCCTATTTAATTAAATAATTGATTTTATTTCAGAATGAATTGGGCAAAAAAATATTAGGAATCCCAAGGTGTGTTTGTCAAATCTTTATTCAAGATGTTTTTATTCAAGATGCTTGTATGCACCATTTTGAGTTTTGTCTTTTTTTTTTTTTACTAATATTTTTCTGGCTCCAAAAGCATAATTAAAAGGGTACTTGTGGAAGAGAGGTTGATTTACTTATTTTAGAGTTCACCAATCACAGATTCTTGATATAATAGGTGACAGTTCTAATACGAGTTGTCCACCTGTTTCTCCACCTTCTGTCTTGGATTCTGGCTGCCTTGCTCAGATCCTGCTGCCCTCCTTCCCCTGCATGGCTCACTCCACCGACTGTCCTCACACTTCGTGGGGTTCTGCCAGCAAGCCTAGTTCCCACACAGCTATGTATCTTGAAGAGAGGGAAATCATGAGAGAGAAGAGAGTAAATCCAAGGTCTACTTACATTTAACAGATTATAAAGCTGACACAGACAAAGTGGAGTTACCCACAGAAAATTCCACATCTGGATTTAATCATGTAGGTTTTAAAACATCTTTCCTAGGAAATAAAATGGCATTTATGTAATTGGACTGTGAATTTAGAGGACTCAGTTTAGGTTTTGTCCTCTCTTTTACAGGCAAAGTATGACCTAAACAGACCTGTCCTTTACATATCACTTCCCTCCTCTGCTAATATTTTCCTTCCCTCTCTTCTTTCATGCCTCCTTGCTGCTACCAACATGCAGACGTTTAGGATATCCAGTCGGGATCCAATCCCTGAAGTGCATTTCTTCTCCCACCACCACATCACAGTGTGTGTTTTGTGGGGAGGAGGGGTGTTTGTAAGGAGAAATTCTCTCCTTCTGCCTGGATTAGGCACTACCTAGCCGCTAGCCGCAGATCCTTCCTCAGATTCTCTCACCCTCTATCATAGATATCAAAGCCACAGGAAAGGGGGAGGCAATTCCATCTTGTTACAATTGCAAAAACTCCACTGCTGATTTTTTTTTCTGCCTTGCAATCCCTTCAGCAGCAACAAAGGAGCAGGGAAAAGAACTGAAAGAAACAAATATTTGACACCTTGCAGGCATTTCCCCACCACAACACTTAGAAGGCCCCAGGAGGTCCCCATAATACCCTTTGTCAGCTCTGCGACCTCCGGATTCCATCGTGCAACCTCACTGATTTCAGTCCCAAGAGCTTAACTACCCACAGCCTCATAGCCTAAAACCTAGAAAAGTGAAGAGGGGCGTCTGCGGGTTGATATCACAGCAGGGGGGGCAGTCTTGGGTGTAGGGGTGGGGTACATACATATCTGCATATCTGCATTTCCCAAGACAACTATGTTTTATGTATGTATAAACATTTGGTTTTATGGTTGTTTAGGAGATGATTTTACTTCACATCCATGATGGGTTGAATAGCTCTTGTGTTGTCCTGTTTGGAAATACAACCAATATGCATATTATTTTTACAGAGTTCCAAAAACTGGTATACAAAATAATTTTTGGACAAGTTCCATTTGCAATTTGGGTATTGCCTATATTTGGAGAAGCGAAGAGTTTTTGAACATATGGCATAAAATCAGCATTGACTTGTACAATTCCAAGCGCAAACAATTTGCTATAAGAACACTGAGCACTGCTCCTTCACATAAAAGAAAAAAAATCGAATCCTATGAAAGCCTTTGTGGGCACCATGAGAGATTTGAAACGATAAGACATGATCAGGCTGTTAGAGCAGGGGAATACAACAAAAGAATAATATTTACTAAAAGTTTAAGAAAATAAAGGAAAAGGTCCAGAACACATGTGATGAATTGCTAAATGAATGATACAGCGATTCAAAGGCAGATGTGTGCTGTCAGCAGGAAGTCTCTGGCAGTGGAGGTAAAGTTTACTCCTCTGCCCATGTTGGTCACACTCTTCTCTGCCAGCCATCAGCCATGAAGATGTCTGAGGACCCATGACTACAACAGCAGCCCTACATTTAACAACACGTAACCAGACCATACATACGGACTGTTGACCTTATATGTAGTGTTCAAGAGCAAAAGAAAAGTTCTGCTTAAGTCATTTGAGCTCCACTTTTTATTGTTTAAAATTGAATTTTATAAAACAGAACAAAATACCTTTCTAAAATTTTGATTTTTTTTTTAAAGATTTTATTTTTAAGTAATCTTTACCTCCAACATGGGGCTCAAGCTCACGACCCAGAGATTAAGAGTCACATGCTCTACCAACTGATCCAGCCAGGCACCCCCAAATTTTTATTTTTAAAAATTTACCTAATCTTGGTGTAATCCCTATATGGAAACTAATTCTACAGATTCACTTTCAGTATTACTCAAATAATACATACTAATAGATGAGGAAAATATATAACATATTTTATATATATCTAAAAAAAAAAAATAGTTCCTTCAGCCTTGGAATCAAAGCAATGCTCAGTCTGGCTCTAGTTCCTCCTATGGGATCTTAGATGAGTTCCCTTACTTCCCTAAGCCAGTGGCTTGACAAAAGAGATAATGGTGTGCATGATAAATCTCTGCGTGGAGTAATTGAGATAATGCATGTAAACTGTTGAACATAGGACTCAATAAATGCCAACTATGGAATGGTAGAAAATTCTCAGTAAGTGCCTTTGAATTCTTAACCACTCAAACTAAGTCACCCCATGAAAACCTGCCTGAAAAAGCAGGAAATGTGTTCAGAGCTCCCTTCCCACCCAGCCTGTGCCTCTTACTGCACCTCAGTAATTCTCCTCTTGGATCAACGACAATCACAAAGCTGCGCTAGCTCTACTCACTTGAGCATTTGTCCTCTCTGATGCGTTCTCTTTCTCTACCCCTCAACAAGTCTGCTCCCCAAAAGCCAGTGAAACACTAAATATTTTGAGTTAAAACACTTTTCCTGAGGAGTTTGCTGAAGTATAATGCATGGTTTTCAAATCCCTCAGTTGCAAGTAGGCTGTGGCCACAGATGAAAAAAATAAACAGACTGGAAGAAAAGCAACACTAGAACTGCTTGCCAGTGCTCTGAGGATCACAGAACTTAGTGCTGAAAAGGAGTTAGAGCTCCAATTATCTGTCAAGTGCAGGAGTCTGTCCCAAAATTCCTGACAAGTGGACTTCCAGCTTTTTCTTGGAAACTATTGATGGAGCAAATTTCTACTTGGGAGCCAGCATTTTCCATCTCTAGGAAGTCCAAATTGTTGTAAAAATTTCTTCTTCTACTGAGCCAGAAACCTACTTTACCTAACTGTGATTCTGGTTCTGTCCTCCTATTGATTTAATCAATTTAGAATCCCTCAGACCTGGGTTCAAATCCCAGTTAAGTGTTTGTTTCTTGGCCTCCAGGGGGCACTAAAGACTCTCTCCCACTTCTATCTGTGAACCTTCAAGACCAATTTGCTGAGCGGGCAGATCCAAGAAGAGTACTACATTACTACAGTCCTATTATCTTGTGAGATATAAATAAGTCTGTAACCGCATAAATAATCAATGCCCTATTTTCCTTCCTTACGCTTAGTGTTTTTCCTCACTTCATCATTGGAATCTTACAAACCATAAAGATGAGACTTGATCATAGGTTGAAGTTGAAAGGGAGAGACAGAAGCTGGTTAGCTGTTTGGCCTAGCTACAAGGAAACTACTTTGGGGTTTGGAGTCAAACCCCAGTTAATTGTAAAAAGCCTGCATTTGTCTGGGCTTGTCCTCAATGCACAAATGTCCTCTGGGGAACTCACTGCCTG